AATCAAACCACACCAGAGCACCCACCAACCACCCACACAATGGGTCAACTACTAATAGATTAAGAGGCCTGATAACAGACTAAATCAACTGACAACACAGTAGGTCAACTAACAATAGACTGGACCAACAGCTGTCACCCATGCTGGACAAACATTTTCTCGGTGACGTAATCCTAGAAACCACCGTTACAATAATATGAATAACAATAATAGAAGAAGATAAAGGCGAAGAAGGAGAAGAAGAAGAAGAAGAAGAAGAAGAAGAAGAAGAAGAAGAAGAAGAAGAAGAAACTGAGCAATAAAAGAAAGAGATGGAGAGAGAAATAAAGAGAGACAGTCTGAATGAGACCAAGACCGTATACGTGGGTGCGTGTATTTTTGAGCGCGGGAGGTGAAAAGACGGGGAAGGGAGACATCATATTTTGCTCGTCTTTGAGAACTTTGTATTTGCACTCCCTTGGTATGTATTCTCAAGCTTTATGTCATTCGGTGCACACGCAGATCAAGCCAATTTTTATGCATCAGTTTTCATTGCGCACTATAGATAGGCTGATAAACTCGTCTGGTGACGTTGTTTGTGGCTGACAAAATAATATTTACAAACGTTGGGACCTCTGAGATTGCTGTAAAAGAGATTTACCTGATTTCGAACTATCCTCGTGGTTATTTGAAACCACCAGGGAGCTGTTATCTTCATTTTCAGTTTCTCGAAATGCAGATGTACACTATTTATCATATCGGTACGTAAAAGCAGCGAATTTGAGTTGAAACAGTGCTTCATGTTCACCCTATCCTTCCCGTAGGAGTTAATAAAAGGTGAATAATTGGGTTGTGCACTTAACATAAACTATAAACCCATCACTGGCAGTTCTTCCGTAGCCTATTTATTCGCAATGATTTCCGTTCTCCCCTTGCCGCGATCTTGCTTCATTTAATACAGTTCTTGGACTGTGAAAATTCTATTTTCTAAAGAAAAGAAACTGAATCTTACTCCTATGGTGAACATAGGTGATGGGGAAAAAAAGATGCGCACTGTCGCACTGACAAATAAATGCCCCTGGAGAGAAACGTCGACATTTTCTTTTGTTGATCCCACCAGTCACAGTACAAAACTGACAAGTGCGAAAGGCATGCTAGACGCAGTACAGGAAAAGAAACACAATCTGGCAACAGGGAGAGATTATGATGATTGGCCCACCTGGTGGAAGCTTTGACACGTCGGTAAATATACCTGTACAGCTCCAGGAACTCAACACGCTAGTGCACGTGACCTTGAGGATTTCTCAGTTCTCGAGGGTCAGACAGTCGACCCTGCTGGATTTGTATGGCAGGTCAGGGCGAAAGTCGTGCTGACAAAAACATTTTAAATGCTCCTCGGGTTGCGTTTCTATGGGTAGAGATACATCAAAAGTATAGGTTGGGTTTGTACAATTGAAATTATGAATAATAAAATACATAATAATAATAATATGAAAGACGTGTTAAACTTGAAGAAAATGAAATAATATGAAAATCTAAAAAGTGTAGGTGTCGATTGCCGTCCGACATATCCATTCGTAGATTGTAGAAAGGAGCTCATCAAAATTTGGTCAGCACGCCATAGGCCTACAGACGATTCCGTGCGCTTTACTGGTTTATTTATAAAATCTGACCTGTTTAAAGGTTTGAATTCAGCCTTTTTGTCCAAGTGTTGGTGCAAAAGTCTCTTCCCCTACTGTTCTCTTACGTAAACCTACCTTAACCCTCCCCACCATCACCTTCATACTCCAACCTCACCCACACTCCCTTTTCCTTTTTTTTTTTTTTTTTTTTTTTTTTTTTTTTGCGACTCCATTAAAGCTTCTAAACAGGATAATAACGTGCCTGTTCGTACATTGGGCGATCAGAGTTATCTTAGTTTGCACCATGATGACTTAAGATAGGGATGGCTCTGTTTCATATCCCTTGCTGAATTAGAGTTATTTGAGGAATTTTCTTGGCTCTCCATCTGCAGGGCTAATTGATTTTTACGGAAGTCCCGCCTCAGGACTAATTGCTCAATGTGTTAAACCAATACCATACTGTCATAAACTATACAAACGGGCTTTATTTCAACTAACGCTGTTTCGCTTTCCCTATCAGAAACCTCTTTAACCACCCTGGCTCCATAAATTTTATATAATCCTACACGTAAATTCTTATCTTTTAAAATCTTTTACGTTTCTGGTTTAACTCGGGATCAGAGATAATCCAAATTCGTCCAGCGATAAGGCTGAAACGGTGGCATTTAGGGTACATTACCCTTCCTGTAATTTTCAACAGCACCTTGCTGTGCCAATGGACCTCACTCTGAGAAGAGCTTTAAAACGAAAGCAGGAGCGGAAGATTTCTGTCTCACAGACTTGGTGAGAGTTGAAGTACATGACATACTAGTATGCTGGTTTGGAGAGGGGAGGGAGGGGCTGGTTAACGTTTCGCTTAGATGCTTTACTTACTTTTACTTTTTTCTTCCTTTGTTGCCGTTGTGTCTTTAGGGAAGGTGCAATTTTCTATGGCAATCCTACTCTGCAGATCTTTTATCTAAAATATTGTTTCTCAAGGAAGGTTCCCTGACTCCTTCAACCTATCTTTTGCGCGGTCTACGTTCTTCCTTTGTAGCCGCAGAATTTGGTATTATAGGCCCTCGGGGGAAGCCTCACCATGTGGTGTTGTAACAGGTGGCCAAACCACTTTATTCGTTTTGTTGATCAATATTTCCAGCGACCAAGTTAGCCTTAAAAAAAGTAAGGTGACTGTCTCTGATGACTGTTCTTGGGTTTGCACTAGGTTTAGTCGACGAATAACTCGTTGTCTGTGTGTTTGTGTGTGTGTTTGTGTGGGGGGAGGGGGGCAGTCCTTGGGCTGCTTTTTTTTTGGGGGGGGGGGTCGGGAGGTCTTTTGTTTTGTTTTAATTGTTTGATTTTTTGTGTTATTTTGGTTTTTTATATCTTTGATCTCAGGATGCTTGCGTCGAGCATGTAGTTCTCTGGGATAAATACGAAAACACGAAGGTACATGTGCTGTGTCCATGCGTGCACGTAACGCACATATAAAATGGCCTGCGATGTATACATTACTATCATATACGATGTTCATCCTACTGCCTCCTCCCTCCAAATGTTCTCTTTACTATTCTCTTGCATCTCAATTTCCTTTCCTTAAAAATAATGCTCTGCTTGTCTCAGTCTTACCCGCGTCGGTAACTACCGATCCTACAAAAATGCAATAAAGATTCTCCGGCCCTCCTTAAACCTGATGGATGAGCCCTCTAGCCCTACTGTGGCATACTCACAGTGAACGGGGCCGACCTAAGTATAGGACTAAGTCAGGATCGAGTCTATTTTCAGCATGAGGAACACAGTCCAGCGAAACGTACAGACGCAAAACACGTTTAACAAGACAACTCAGCAATGCGTTTGTTTGAAAGTGCCAGACCACGTACAGAAGAAATCCTGGGTCAAGTTTGTTATTTTCGGATGTTTTTTGTTTGACTTCTCTGGGCGGTTTTCCTTGTTGCTGTGCGTGTGTTGGTTTGTTGTTGTTTTGTTTGTTTGTTTGTTAATGTGTTTGTCGTGGGGGGGTCGTGGGGAGTTGTTGGGGTGTTTGGTTGGTTGGTTGGGTTTTTTTGTTTGTTTTGTTTGCTTTTTTTTGGGGGGGGGATAAGAGAAAAGATGGATGACGGGGCGGGGGGGGGGGGATGTGCGAATCATGCTTTTTAAGCTCTCTTCATAGCCGTTTTGATATATAAAACGATGATGTTATGAGCGGGAAATGGTCATTATTTGATACCAGTTGCAACCTTGTACTGACGCTTTGGATAGCTGAACACCAATTTGAAAAAAAAAGAACTACCGGATACTCAGAGTGATAACCTTTCTTTTTTTTTCCTTAGACTATCAAGGTAACTTTTAAGAGCACAATTACAAATTCAGTGACGAAGTATGATTTGTGGGAAAAGCAGACAATGTAATTGTTTCCTGTGCTGTGAACAGTCGTCCTTATTGCTTGTAAAAAGTGTATGAAAAAAAACATTCCAAAAGCGGTGGTGTGGCTCTCGGTTTTATATTGGCTTGTAGTAAGGGGATTTTTTTTTTGCCTATTAGCAATCCTGAAGTACCGCATTCGGCGTCACCGAGCTCAGAAAAAATGGAATATAAGACCGAATCCTTTAACAGTAAAAAAAAAATTAAAAAAAAGTGAGCTACAGCAAAAGCTCTGCCATTGTGATGATCAGATATTTCGGAAGCACTTTGCACCTACGTTTATTGCTTACTGTTCACTGACAACCCAAGAATTTTACGTTCCACGGTTCATAGCATTTACCTTCAAATGACTCTAGGTATAATATGACGAATGTATATTTTAAATATTTTCTTTCATCTGTTTCGTCGAGTTATTGTTCAACACAAAGTCACAGGGGTGTCGGTGACTTGAAACGCTCCAAGCAAAGAGTGACAGATCGTGGTAATTTACAGAGCTACGAGACTCTTTCATGACTCGGTTGGAGTACGTGATAAGATGCGGTTCATTATGCATGGGTGCCGGAGCGACAAAGATAAGTTGTCTTCACCCAGGGCACCTGAGCTAAAAAGAACAACCATGTATTGACAAAGCGATTCTGAATTGTCTCCTTGACTGCCCTGATGGCAAGTCTTGAAAACATGAATTTAAGTAAGTCGTTTTGGTTAGGGTTGGGTGTGTGTGTGGGGGGGGGAACTTTTGACATTACTTGTCTTTTGAGGGTTGAGATGGATTACACTTGTAGAGAAGCCACCGTTCTCGCCATTGCTGTTTTCGAAAAAAGGGTGATTTATTTTCAAGCTCTCAAGAATTACTATTGAACAAAAACAGTACCAAAATAATTTTCCCGAACATCAAAATCAATGGTTGAAATTAGATTTTAATATTCGACTGCTTAGTGTATGTTGACTGATACGTTATATTTTTTATCATTCATATTTCTTTTATTCTCTGTTTTGCAGGCGTTTGGATAGAAACCAGTTGAGATCGCTACCAGACCTGCTGTTTGCCTCGATGACCAAGCTGGAACGACTGTAAGTACATACATTCCCTTTTCTGGTAAATGCCTTTAAATATCTTTGAAATCACTACTTACTTTATTCAAAACACAAAACCTTTCTTTCAAATTTGACTATAAAAGATAACATTCTTGATACACTCTATAGGCTTCAGTTAAAACAGGTTTATGTAAAAAGGAACTATAGAGCGTCTCTGAAAGTAGAGACAATTTATATAGATGTCCTGTTGTCTGTATTCTTTGTCCGTGCTAACTACTCGATTTACGTCGATCTTCTGCAATCACGGCGATTTCTTTACTGTTCGCCCAATACCTCAAGTCACTTCCCATGGCATAATGGTCAAATGAGACCTCATAATCTGTCCCGTACCCGTTGCATAATAACCTGCCCTGAAACTATCTCTGTTTCCTACGAATAAATTGTTCTGTGATTTCTACATTTGCCCCTTCGCCTTTTTGCCTGTAGCCATTCCATCGTATTCACTCACTTTTAAGTGAAATACAAGAATTAGTGAATGGACTGAATCGATTTTGCTTGCATTAGCCTTGCTGGTACCTTTGTTTGAATGGACATTGCGAAAATACGATACGTTCCATTTCGAAGTCACATTAAGGCATTCGTCCAGTAAATGGCAACAAAAACACCATTGGTATTTTATCCAACGTTAGTGTTTTCCCAAATCGTGGTAAATCATACGTGTTATATGTCAAGCTAAATGAAAGCGCGTGATGTCAAAAGGGCAGTGGGCGGTTGATTGTCGTAATTTGATTTCCGTTGATATTAATCTGAGCGCACCGTTCGCAATAAGCCGACCTGTCTGGCCTCGAGGAGACCGAGTGGCGAAATTGATAGCCTTACAGAGGTAGTGGACCGAGATGTGGTCAGCCGAATTAAGCCAAGGTGTCCCCACGGACCGCTGGTCTCCGTTCTCGCAGCCTGGTAGGTCACACGAAAGCTCTGGGAAGACGGATTTGGTGTGAGGGACCCCTGCGAAATGTTTCTGACAGATCCCATCGGGTTAAACCTTGAAACCTGCCCTCCAGGTGTAACTTTAAGTCAGCGATTGCCAACGTGTGTACGCTTGTGCGCACTGAGAGCCTGATCGGTGGTGACAGCTGCACAGGCTTCAAACGTGATTAACAGTGTCTGAGACGCAGAGTCTGTGAAGACTTTGTGAAAGTCTTGCTGGGAAAGACACGAAAACTAGCCGCAAGATTTTTATCTGGTGTTAAGAAACGCGAACAATGGCGACAGGTTTCAGACAGACAATAGACCTTGAATTACAGATCGGGGCTGCTTTTGTTGTGTGGCATTAAGATCAACTGGGCGGTTTCAGTTTTGACTGCGTTTGATATAGCATGTCTGCCCTGGGGCGGAATACATTGCTTTTTGGCCTTGATATGTTCGTGCCTTGCCAGCAACAATAAACTTGTCATTGTTTGCAAAAGTTTGTTTTCTTTTGCAATCACTGTATTCTTGAAGTAGCTCAGAGGCTTTATTTTGCATTTCCTTACCTGTTTTCCTTTTAAATGACCTATAATATTTGCCCAAGATCACAATAGACAAGTGTCTCTTGCTGACAAAGATCTATTTGAATTTGAAGATTATTTCATTTTAGTTCTGATCCTCCCGTCTGTTGTATATAGACAGTATACTTAAGTTTTTTTATGTAGAAACTGTCAGTTAGGATTATGATGAAAACATTTTTCACAATCGTATATTTTTATGTTAATAAATTCGCTTATTAAAGGGTTCTGAGGAAATATAAACACACAGCGTCACGCACCCACGGATGCTTTATGAAAGAAAAGTTTTCGTTTTACATTACCATAAGACCGGAGGCAACTTTTCTGCTTTTAAAACCATTTCGAAAATCTCACTTTATCACCCTTTTGTTATACTGCCGGCTCCAAACTTTCAAGAAGTTTGGAAAAAAACCCACTTTACTTAACATTGCAAGGAAATGAATCTAACGAGGTATACGATTCCTCAAAAGTGTGTGTGTGTGTGTGTGTGTGTGTGTGTGTGTGTGTGTGTGTGTGTATGTGTGTGTGTGTGTGTGTGTGTGTGTGTGGTGTGTGTGTGTGTGTGTGTGTGTGTGTGTGTGTGTGTGTGTGAGTGTGTGGGGAGGGGGGGTATGTACATGTGTGTGTACATGTGTGTGTGGTGGGTGTGGTGGACGGAGAGATTAAGGGAGAGAAAGAAAGAAAATAGATATGTTTATGCGTGTGCTCTCTCTCCTTTTCTTTCTCTCTCTTTCTCTCTTTCTCTCTCTCTCTCTCTCTCTCTCTCTCTCTCTCTCTCTCTCTCTCTCTCTCTCTCTCTCTCTGTCTGTCTGTCTCTGTCTCTCTCTCTTTCTCTCTTCTTTCTTCTGTAGGCATTTTATACTTTGGTTTACTTTTTTTTCTCAGAAAACCGTTCCTTTTCTGTCTCAATAGCGACAAGAATAAAGTTTTATGTCTGTGCCGCACGTGGAACAACACCACGAAAAAATAGAGCAATGCTTTTACAGTTGCAGTCTGAACACATATAAAGTTGTAGATTTTGTGGTATCAGTACGTGAACCAATCTCTATGGCTTTTCTTGGTTGTAATAAATATCGTTGCTGTAGAAAGGAACCCCGGATATTCGTTCATCTTTCCGTCCCTGTGGCACCAATTGCCTGCTATAACTTGGGTTGTGAGCACTGTACGCGTAAATTAAACACAGGGAAACTCTGCGTGTGTCCGGGTGGCGAGGGAGGGGCTTGGGGAGTACTGCGAGATTTGGAAATCGAAGGAGTCAAACAGGGAGTTCAGAAACGAGAGGGAAAAAAAAGCTTAGGACACCAGCACTTTTATTATAGATGTTGTAACTGATTTTTCCTCCATTAACACACCTTTTTGAGGTGATCTGCTTTAGACCTGCTCGCCAGGGCCAACTATGGTTGTGAGAGCTACACACTGCCGAAATATAAAAATACCTGTTTAGATTATTGAACGTTTTTAAAAACCCGCACAGAAGCTGAAACATCACACAAATTGCAGTATGTTTGTTAATGGTAATCGCTGTTTCAAATTTGATGTATAAACAATGTTACTTCATTTTACGAAATTAGTTTAAACTGCTGCAGTTTTGCAACTGCGTATTGCTCACTTACGTTCAAAATAAGACGTCATATGACCTGGGATTAATTCTGAATCCGGAGTCTAGACTCTGCCCTGTGACAGAAGCCACGAACAACCACATTGCCCTCGGGGAGAAATCTCTCTTAATGAGTCCCATTAAAGCATAAACGACATACCAGCCGTCATAGACCCCGGAGGACTGCAGATATCAGGGACCTGGGCTTGACTATTATGGCTTCCGGGCAGCTTAGTGACTCTCAGACACAATACCTCAGGGGCACAAACGCCAGACTTTCTCTGGGCAGATTTCAGAACTTGGCGTCAAAGCTCAGCTCTCGATTGTCCCGTTTGCCATGCTTTATTACATGATTGTCGTGACGTTCTCTGTTGACCACATACTTTATTATCCGGCCAATGTAACTTTCCTTTTGTGTGTGTACTGAGTGTCATCTGGCAACGGTCACCCATGAACAAATACAATTTGTCTCCCAAGCTACTTAATAAATTTGATGATCGAAAGTGGGTAAGAGTGCACAGAACAGCAAGTAGACTTTTCATGTTCTGTGATACTTTATAATACATTTCTTTAGTTTTCAACAAATTGCTTGACGACGACTCGTTTAAATCCGATATGTCCTTTCCTTTTGTCTTTCTGTTCGTCACTCTGCCTATGTGTGTGTCTGTTTATGTGCATCTTTATGTACGTCTGTTCGTTGCACTGTGTCTGTGCGTGCGTGCGTGCGTGCGTGCGTGCGTGCGTGCGTGCGTGCGTGCGTGCGTGCGTGCGTGCGTGCGTGCGTGCGTGTGTGCGTGCGTGCGTGTGTGCGTGCGTGCGTGTGTATATATATATATATATATATATATATATATATATATATATATATAATATATATATATATATATATATATAATATGTAATATTACATACAACTGTTTATATTATATATATATAGTATAAATGATATTGTATACATTCACATGATATAATATGTGAAACGAGTACATTGTGTACGTGCATAATATAAAAATATGTATATATAGAATCATACAGATAATATGATATTATATAACCAGTAAAAAAGGACCTTCGCTGTCATTTGCCTCTTGCTTTTCTGTTTCTTGCTCAGCGTGAGTACACCATTCCAGCTCTCGTAATGCTTCTGCTACTAATACAACTAATTGTGACAGAATACTTAAAATCAGATAATCATACAAAATGTTATTTGTTATATTATAATTACCGTTATGATCATAGATATGATTTTTGATAATATTGTGATAATAACCGTGACAATGAAAATGATAATTGTTTTCATCATACTCTTAAATTACTTAATCACTTGTCTTAAATTTTTCTTTCATCATCATTAAAGTATCATCATAAGAATAACGGTAAATATAATCAGAGATGATACTGATATCCAAATTGGTAAATGGAGCCATTTTAGCTAAACCCCGGAAGGCCTGGTTCTACCAAAGGTCTAGTCAATACATGCATTCAAGCTCTCAACTGTCCTCTGGTAGACTGCCACAACTGGCTTCCTTCCCTCCCTCCCTCCCTCCCTCCACACTCATCATTGTTCACGCCCCAGGCTCAGAGAAATGACCCGCAAAACTCGCCTGTTGTCCTCTGAAGGGCTCTCTCCCGGCATAGATCCCCTTCTCATTCTCTTTGACAAAGAATCAAGTTCGACAACAATGGATTTGCGAACGGTCAGTTGCATAAGCGCATTCCGGGTCATTCTACTTTGGCCGTTTATTTTTGTTTAATGATCGGCGGGCCAAATCTCAGAGAATGGTTCGTGGGAGTATTAGAAAATCCGCGGCAATGAACGAGTACAGGTGTGTGCGGCCAGGCAGGAGCTGCGGTTTGGCTCTATTCTTTATCCGTTTGGCCTTTTAAGTTCG